TGATTACTGCCCAATTTGTCGGAGGGAAATCGCAACCAACGGTTTCGTTTTGTTGCACCAAAAAAGTAAATCTGAAAACCATTTTTGTTAACCTTTGTTTTATTTCTGTGCTAATGTTAAAATTAACATTAAAATTTTAGTGCTTAAAAATAGTTCCAACCATAATGCTTGCTGCCAGTGCCCAAGACAATTCCGCTGGTTTGAACGACTTCTCCGTCACTTTATTCAAAGATACATTTGTAAGTGTTCGTAAGTTTAAATGAAGCTTATTGCCTTTTTGGTCTGCAATAATTTCGGCTCTCTATATGAACACCTCCCACATCGTCTTTTATTGGATTATGCTGCAGTTCAAAATACGAGGGATTCAGAAATACGCCTATACTGTACGGAATGCTACTTGGATGTTGCGACGTGGGACGCATTACAATGCCACATGTTAGTATACCATTCCTGTAGGTTTTTCTCCATTTGTCGACCTTAGTCCGTGATGTTTTCTTATGTTTAGCTTTCCTGTCTTTGGGTTTTCAGTTGTATGGTGGAATGTATTCGTATAAAATGAAGTAAATCACCTTTTCTCTAAAAAAATCGTAAGTTCTTAAATTTTTGTTTGCTACCTAACACTCTTAATTTAATTGACACCATTAATGCGTAGCCATTTGGTATGACAATTTTGTGTTTGTACCAAAAAAATAATGATACATCTGACATCTGAAATTTGCCTTTAATCTGTATGTGATTTTGCCAATGCACTAATCGTTTAACGGATAATGATTGACGACTAATACCAAATGCTCTCCTGTTACCCTTTTATTTAGGATGGATCGTTTTTGATAACAATACTTTTTCCTTTTTCTACTTTTTTGTTCTCTTCAATTTACTGTCTAGCTATGCCATTTACTTCCCATGGTCAATTGCTTTAAGATGGGCTATGTAAGTAAGTTCAGGCGTTTATGCTTGTCTCTTGCTTGCCTTAACTGAAATACACGCACATAAAATTAAGGTTGATTCTAAAAAAAGAAATCTCATTTTCGCATGGGGTTGTCGCTATCGGTAATCTGGTTCCTCTTAATTTGTGATAAATAGTAAAGGAACAAACTACACATATGCTACGCCTCTCTTAAATAGCGAAATCCAGTTGCCGGTAGCAGACATGGCAATTAAATACTTGTGGAGAAGATGTGGGTAGCCAATTCTTTGGGGAACATCTTCAGTCATAATAAAGATACAAAT